ATAGTGTTTTGTATGTGGGTGCACATGCAAGATCTGTGTGTCAAGGCACAGGAGTCTCTACACACATGTGAAAGTCAGAGGATGACTGTTTGGAGTCAGTTCTATCCCTCCACTTATATGTGAAATTCAGGGACCAAATTCAGGCACCAAACTTGCACATCAAGCAATTTTATTCATTGCACCAACTCACCCATCTACCTTTCTTTCTTTAATTTCAGAGAGGTTCATGCTTAGATGGAAGTCCTGTTGACGTCCATATATACCCCCAAAAGATTGGAATGTATGGGATCTCCAGCTTGGGGCCCATTCTATGCTCAGGTCTTACTTCTCCCATTCCAAACCCTATCCTCAGTGCACCAAGCGGCAGCCCCTCCCCTGGAGCTGCCCTCTTCAAAGTCCACCCCTGAGAAAGCCTGCCAAAAGTCACCCCTCCTTGGAGCTGCTCAAGTCCACGCCTATAGGCTACTTAAGACCTGGCAGCCATATTTGTCACATGATTCCTCTCCTGCCCTCCTAAGGGTCACCCAGGAGTTACTTTGCTCTGTTCATTAAACCCGGATTTAATAATTCGGTTTGACTGGCTTATTACATTGGCAATGACAGATTTCCATTAACCAGGGATTCAAAACTTATCAGTTCATTTCTTGTTCTAAATATATCAGTGAAATGAAGAACTGAATCCAAATTTGGTTCACCGATTCTTTGAGTTCTAATTTGTGGGAGATATTTAAATTCCTTTTGGTAATTCCTTCTGCACAAAAGTCCTGCCACTTTAGAGTTGGGACAGACAAGAAATGATGGTTCTTGGGGTAGTGATTCATGTGTCTAAGAAAGAGAAACACAGAGAATAACTCAAACCAAAAACGCTATAGACCCAGCAAATATGCGCATCTACTCAGGAGGTAATGTTCATTTTACATATGCATTTAAAAGGCATGATTGTCGGCATCAGAGAGGTTCATCCAGCAGCTGATGGGAGCAGATGCAGAGACCCACAGGCAAACATTAGGCGGAGCTTGGGAATTGCAGAGGAAGAAGGCAAGGAAGGACTGTAGGAGGCCAGAGGGGTCAAGGATACCACAAGAAAACAGCCCTCAGAATCAACTAAGCAGGGCTCATAGAGGCTTATAGAGACTGAATCCACAATCACGGGCCCTGTATGGGTCTGAGTCAGGTCCTCTGGATAGGTTATGGTTGTATAGCTTAGCGTTCTTGTGGGACTCCTAACAGTGTGAGTATGGATGTCTCTGTCTCTTTTGCCTGCTTTTGGATCTGTTTTCCTCCTGCTGGATTGCCCTTAATAGGAGGGGAGGTGCTTAATCTTATTACAACTTGATATGCCATGTTTGGTTGACATCTCTGGGAGGCCTGCCCCTTTCTGAAGGGAAAGGAGAAGTGAATTCACAGGAAAAGGGGTGGGGGTGTGGAGTAACACAGGGGGGACTGGGAGGAGAGGAGGGAGGGGAAACTGCAGCTAGATAGGAGAAAAATAAAGAAAAAGGATGTATGATAATAATTGTCTCTCTACGCTCAATTCGTGCCCAGTATTGGCCAGAGGTTGCGCTGTGTGGTTGCTATATTCTTTCCAGTCCTCACAATGACCCTGAAGGCAGTTGTAAACATCTGTATATGCTGTTGAAGACACTGAGCCCCCAGGAGTTGGGATAATGTATGCCATGAAGCAATGACCGCAGATGTGACCCACGTATGTGGGACACAAAGCCCTCATTCTCTTCCTCCCCTGCCTCAGGGGTTTTCACAGCAGTCGTATATTTTCTATTAATGCCATCGCTGATTCAATGCCTCTCAAACACCTTTGAGACGATCTCCAGCTGGCAGCAGAGTGACAGGTGCCACAAGACTTTTTCCTCAAGCACTGAGAGGAAGTTGCTGGTAAATTTGGAACCGCCACTCTAAACACTCCAAATGGAATCCCTCCAGATGCATTCCCTCCCATAACTACAACACAGACATCATGTGACCATGTGCAGGCTTGGTGCCAGGAAAGGGCATCAGATCCCTGGGACTGAAGATGATGATGGGTGTGAGCAGGCTCGTGGGTGCTAGGAATGGAACCCAGGGCTCCCGGGAGAACATTCGGTGTTCTCAGCTGCTGAGCCATCTCTCTAACCTCTCAACTTTGTTTTTTTGTCTCTTTGGATTTTGTTTGTTTGTTTTGTTTTGTTTTTTTGAGATAGGGCCTCTCTGTGACAGTCCTAGAAACTCACTCCACGGACCAGGCTGACCTTGAACTCACAGAAATTCACCAACCTCTGCCTCGTGGGTGCTGGGATTAAAGGCCTGTGCTGTAGCTGCCTAGCCCTTCCTTAATTCTAACTACACAGAACAGTTCCTTCTTTATCCCCCACCCTGCTTCTCTCCAAGCCCAGGAGGCTGGTTATTAGGTGTTGTTATGCAATGCTTAGTTTCTGTTATCAAGTTACAGACTGTGGGAGCGCTTGGGAAGGGTTTCCGTGAGGCATTGTCTTCATTCATTATTCCCTGACAGGGGACAGATACACAAACTGAAAGTGGGCTGCACTATTCCCAAGACTGGGTCTTCGGTTGTGTAAAAACGGGAAACCAACGCGGTGGCTCCCCTCTGCCCTTGTCTGTGGCTGTCTAACTTTGGGTTCCTTGACCTCTCTGAGATGAGGGTTTGTGAGCTGAACTGGGAGCTAAAAGAAAACCTTTCTGGCCTAAGGCATTTGGTGTACTGTGTCACAGCAGAAGGGTGTGAAAGCCTCTCTCACCAACTTCCCACTCAACTCCCTGGCCACCTGGGGCGAGCACTGTGCTCACTGAGCCAGCTGCCTAGCTAGCATCTCCACCCCACCCCACCCCCACACCTTTCTCCTTTCTCCCTTGTTAACTTGGTGGTTTGGAAGATGATGAATGTCTCAACTTGGATTTACCTGGTTTCCTCATGGTTACACTTCAGCAGGAGTATCCCAGGGATGGTGCTGATCTCAGGGCATTCTGTCTGATTCTGGGGATCTCTCATCAACTGCTCCACTGATGTCTGCTAAGGTTCCTCCACTACAAAGTTAGCTTATTTTCTTTGTGATTATCAGCTATTTTCTGGACAGATCCCCTGAGACAATATAAATATTCTGCTCCTCGAAGTATTTATATACCTATGTCTAGGGGTTTCTGTCTATTCCACTATTATCGTTGTTCTGTCTTCATCTCTTTTAGAATAAATAGTAACAAAGAATCTAAATGGTCAGGTGTGCCAGTCTGCAATACACTGGTTGATAAAACAAGCCAGGGAATGGCAGAAACTCCGTGGCTGAGCAAAACTGAATCGAGATGTTGTGAGACTGAACCGAAACGTGGAGCCTCATCAAATAAAACCTGTAACAGTTGCCTTCAAAATGCAAGTATAAAGAGCAAATTCTTTATTTCCAGCTGAAGTCACCTTCTTCCATGTAACAAGTGGAGTTTCTGTGGAAGTCAGCAGAAGGTGACACGCTTGGTCTGACAAGGGTGACACGTGGGCACGTGATGAGGAGCTAGCTACGCACTTGTTAGAATGTCGAGATTTCTCCTCCCTTCTGGGAATCCACTGCAATCAAGATTCTGGTAATGCTGAGTACAGAGAGCACTGCAGAGTGCACGGTGCCCTCATCATTTACATGATGAACCCCACAGTCTCACCGCTGCCTTTTCTCTCCTCCCCACCCCAGCTGGAGCAGACTATGTTGGTGTCAGCCCAAGACCTGCACTTTGGCCCAGGAGTGTGCCTGCAGAGATTGCTGGTGACAATCCTTGATGACCTGCAGCAGCCTGCCTTTGAGGGTTCAGAGAAGTTTGAATTACTTCTCCAGATGCCTTCAGGTGCTGTGCTTAGAGAACCAAATAAAACCACCATTATCATCGAGGACAGCATCACCAACTGCCAAGCAGAGTGCTTGTAGTTCTTGAAGGGGCAAACAGTAGCCTAGATGTATCCCAGAAGGAAGATGTACCATTCCAGAGCTTACCAACTCTGGAATAACAATGGTATTGTACTGTCACTGTGCCTGTGCAAATAGTTTATGTGACTGCATGGAGACAGAAATACATAAACAAGAAAAAGATTGAGTCAATAAAAATGTTACTTTCTGTTTCATTGTTTCTAAGGCCAGTAAAGCCTCATCAATTAAATGAGCTCTCTCTTTACCAGTTGATGTTGGGTGTGATTTTCTGGTAGGATCAACTGGAGGTCTTATTTAGAAACTGCTGCACATCCTTCATGGTAGAAACCTCGTACCCTGGACTGCAAAACCTGAACTCATGTGATGCGGGACAATTCTAGCCAGCGTATCAGTCATCATTTAATTATCCACAATCACTCAAATGTTCAGTACCCTTCCTTTATTGATACATTTCACAGATTTATAATTTTGAGCAGGAAAAAAAATCAATTCTTCTAAGTTCTGTTATATCTATCCCATTTAAAAATGGAATACTAATGGATATACTGAAGCCTTCTAAACGATGGCATCTCAACCTTAACATGCCTGTAGCCCATGAACTTCTGAACATGATTTACATTTAGGACCATTGGAGACTGATGCCAGCGTCTGTGCATGCCAACTTGTCTGATGAGTCTACATTTTCCTGCATTGCCACCGACAACCCTACTAAAGAAACACAACTATGAAGTCAGGTTCTTATGACTAAAATGCCAGCATTTAACAATTTAAAGGCCAGGTATATTGGAGCATGCCCATAATCTCAGCCCTTGGTATGTACAAGAGTTAAAAGCCAGCCTGGACTATAAAAATAGGGAAAAAAAAATTCATTCTGTCTGAAAAGAAAAATATAATCTTCCTCTTTTCAATCTAGGTGTTCGTACACTGGTTTGCACCTGGGATCACAGCTAGAGGCTGAAGCAGAAGGTTCAAGACCAGCCTGGAAATACTGGTAGGCCTCCTAAAAAAAATTACAGCTCAGTGGTTCACTATAGGGAAAGAAAAAACAAAGTAAAGCTCTATTGATAATGCCTGTTATTGATAATAGCTACCACTACATAGCCACTGAAGTTTCATTTTTCTTTTGCAAGATATGTTTGAAGCATTGCTTTTCCAATTTCCTATACAAAACACCTCTGAAGATCTTGGTGCAATATTGATCCTGTTCAGCACAAGTTCCAGTCTGCCTCTCTTACCAGCACCCAAAAAAATGAAGGTCTCGGAGTGTGTCAGTCTAGGTCCAGAAGGGAGTATCAAAATATCAGACTTGGGGTGACATTTCTATTGGCTCAACTTGTAGTGCTGAGTGATGCCCGGCTCCATACCAGAAAGGTGGCTTCAGAAAAGACAAACATGAAGAGTAGGGCTCAACTGCTTTAGCTGTCAAGTCTCAGTGACTGCCTACCATTCTTCCATACCACTAAACCCTGGCTGCCCAGATCTGTGGGAGGACCAGCACCAGAATTGTAGGTCCACACACAGCAGCAGCATTCATGCTGCAAGTTCTTTCTTTCAAGTCAGAGTAAACTGTATTCCTGAAGAAAGTACATTATTTTACTTGGGAACATGCTTTGTCAATTTTCTAAACCTTGTTCTACTTACAGAACTTAACTGTTGTAGAGAGAAGCTGAGCAGCAGACTGCTAAGGGTTAGAGGCTTCTCAGAAATGGGAATTACAAATGTCCCCCCAACTGTTACTGCACCTAAACCTCTTTACTATTGATAAGCAGATCCCTAAAAGTAGTTGACATACAACTAACTTTACAATACTGTCAATGCGGAATGTGCATTGGGTTCTATTGGAAAGAACAGTTATTTAAAATATGCTAACAAATTAATAACCGATTTTGTATAAAAACTAAGCACTTTGTTGTTTTTGGAGCAGGGTCTCTGTAACCCATGCTGGCCTCAAATTCACCAGATTCCTGAGTGCTGAGACTAAAAGTATGCACTATGACAACCATTAAATTAAGCAAAGTTAAAATCTATGATTACGAAGTACTCTCAAGTAAAAGCATAGTAATAATTTTTACACTATCATTTTGAAATTAACATTTATATTGATTGCATCTTGTTAGCACAGTTGTCTTCCCAACGACACACGTTCTTTACAGTGTGGGGAACAGACCGCTGGGGCTCTGGTTTTGCTTCAGTCACCACCACCACTGCAACAATTTGCGGTGTGGCTTCCCGTTCTATCTTCATCAGTTCTACTTTTAAGACAGGGACAGTTCAGGATCAGAGTACTCTTTTCCTTCCAGAGGAGTGTGACATGCTATCCAAATGGGCTCTAAAGCAAACCCCCAGCCCTGGCTAAATCACAACGCAAAACTAGTATCTTCCACAATTTTTTTTTTGACTTAAGATTTCCCTTTGGTGTTCTTTTATATTTAAATATCCAGGTCTCAACAAGTACATCACGCTTGATTCACATCCTTCCACTGCAGAACACTTCCCAATTTCTCTTCGTTTCCAAACTTCACTTTGCGACCTTCATAGTTTTCTTCAATCTTAAACTTTTTTCAATTATTTCCTCCAAAATGAGGCTACATTTGATGTTATTAACCAACTTTGGGGAAGCATGAAAAGAATTCCAATTACTCTATAATGTCCCACAGACCAATGCATGACATTCACACCAGCAATCTTACATTTAGAAAACCAGGTAATTTCAGCATGGACAGCAGACTTTTCAGGGACTCGTGTGCAGAGGAAAACTAAGTTTCAGAAAAGAGCTCTAAGAAAAACAGACTCTCTCTTAAGAGGAAAAGGTTGAAGTTAAATAATAAAGAAAAACTTTCAAAGAGATAGAAAGAAAAGACCACTTTAAGGATTACAAAAGTTATATTTATTCACGATGCTACATTTATTGCATTCCCTTAGAAAAATGGAGAACTGCTTATCTACCCAATTTGCACATATAAAACTTTATACAAATGATGTGTAGCACATAAAGGCCTCTGGGTATTCCTGCTTCAGGGTCTCCAGTTAGCAAGTCTATTCCATAGAAAATAAAAATTGGAATGACACTCCATCTTGCTACTAAGACTTTAGAAGTTATTTTAAAATATAATAAAATAAAATTTTCATTTACTCTAAAAACTCAAAAATACTATAAACTGGGAGGGTATATTCTATTATTATTGTAACAATATGACAGATTCACACCTCATTTTGGCTGGGTCTTCAAATTTAAAAAAAAAAATCACCTAACTTCTGACATCATCGCTGTTGGGGCTTTACAGCCCATTTGTCAAAATATTTACCAAATACTTTAAAAAAAAAATTCCTGCTAAAAAATAATACACCATCTTCAAGAACCAGGAAATACTAAATGTCTTTGGCTATGCAACTAAAAAGGCATTCATCCAATGAACAGGGCACACTCACTTCAGAACCACAGACACAGAAAGTGTAACAGAAATACACAGAGAAATTATAAAACTTGTCTTCCTTCCCCTATTCTGTAATAAGCAAGAACGCAATTTACACAATCTTTCCAGAGGAGACTCAATAGTACTACAAAAAAAAGTCAAAGGCAAAGAATGTTAAATAAAATAATTACACAACTAAGTGGAGTCTTGAAGGGACAAATGTTCTTTGTCATATTTTTTACTTGTTTGCGTGTTTTAAGCCATATAAGTGTTAAAGAGTTGTAGCCAATAAAAAGCCACAATCCTTACAAATGAAAATAGAAAAATAAACCAAATGAAACATTTATTAATAAATGAAGCCTGTTTTATTACTTCAAATGTTAATGATAAAAAATTTCAGCACAGCTGTTGCATTTAAAAAAGTGAGACTACACCCTATGTTTCTAGCTCAGTAAGCAGATGGAGCTGATGTCTTTGAATGACGTAACAGTTGAGCACTGTACAGCACATCTTATGAAGACCCGGAAACTAAAGAACTGCTAGTTTAGTGATTAGAAGACAAATATGCTTTCATAGTTTCAGCTTCTTTTTTCTTCCTCGACCATCAGGGGCACCATCCATTTTACGCTTCTGTGTCTATAAACAAACACAACAATTAGTTCCCATGACAAGACTAAACTAATATGAACATAAAATATATTCTCACACATGTTGTACCACATTAGTAGTTAACTAATGTGACAGGGGACTTTTCTCCAGGGCTACACAACAAATCTTTCAAAACCACTATCACATCTCCAAGTATTTTACCATTACTAATAACAAGATGCCTGCTTCCTCCTGAAATACATTCTAACACAATTCTAAGATAGGTGGTAAAGCTATTTTTTTCCTAATATTCCTCGAAGTCTCCTAAAATTTCAAATATAAGAACAAGTGAAGCCTGGAGGTTGATGGCGCACGCTTTTAATCCCAGTACTTTGGAGACAGGTGGGTCTCCGTAAGTTAGAGGCCAACATGGTCTACTGAGCAAGTTCTAGGATAGGCAGACGTACAGAGAAACCCTGTCTCAAAACTACACAAAGTAAACAAAAAGAACAAGTGTGCACTCTTGGTAATCAGAAGACATGCTTTCCCATATGGAGTGCATTAAGATCAGTTTATATTTTCAGGTAACTGAAATGTATTATTTACAAAGAAAAAAGACAAAACCAAACATGAATGTTACAGTGGTCAAATACTTTGAAGGGTAAGTGGTAGTGGCGGGTTTTCCGGAGATGGCAGCGGGTAAACTGCTTGTCATGAAAGCACGTGGACCTGAGCTCGGAGTCGCAAAAGTCATTAAAACCCAGACCACCCCAACAATGAGGATATGGGGACTAGGGGAAGAAGAGGTGCACAGGACAACCAGCCTAGCCAAAATGGCAAGCTACAAATTCACTTGAGACTTTTTTCTCTAAAATAATGTGGCTTCACTGATTGTAAACTTCTGCCTCACAAAGTACTTCCACACACATATATATGCAACACACACACACACACACACACACACACACACACACACACACACAAAACCAAAATTGCATCACTCACATACATGTATATATTTTACATATTTGTAAATACTCACCGAAGGCTTTGGTCCTCTTTTCTTTTTCTCTGCCTTCTCCTTCTCTTCTAGTTCCATATTTTCTCTTTCAATCAAAGTAATTAAAGTATTACATCTCCTCTGGAGCTCCTGCATTGTGAATATACAAGGTAAACTTGTTATTTCTAACTACATAGTCAGAACTTCAATATCTAAATAAAGGTATGTTTTAACAAATAGAAAAATCACCCATATATTCCCAACAGATTAATAAAAAACAAGCAGAAAGAACTTAATTTTTACTTACAGACCATACTATGAGGATATAAAAAGCAAAGCAAATACTTAATGTTTTTAATTCATTCTTTAAAGCTGCACTAACATACAGCTGAGGGAAAACAGCTCAGTAGTAGTGTGCCAATAGACAGATAAATACTGATAAATAGTAAAGCTCCATACTAGTATATATTCTTCATAAATCATTCCTCCATTGATCATTTAGGTACTAATGCAGTGAAAATGAACATCTAACATACGCAATAAATATGCCGAGGAATGCTGGACTACTTATATTCAAAGGTTAACATACAGAATTCAAACACAAAATCACCTAGAACTTAAGAGATGAAAATAGCCTTTTCTTTAAAAGCACTATCATTGTATTTTATGGCAGTAATATACACAGAGCTACAAAGTCCATGATGAGTTTTGTCTACAATATGTAATACTTAGTGAGGCAAAATCCATCTGCATCACTAATTGCTAGCAGTACATTTTCTTACAGACCCAAAGTCTCTTGTTTATTCAATCTCTTTTATTAAAAGTCAAACTTCCACATAGACAACTACAGCATAAATAAGTCTGAATGCCAGGTAGTGTGGCACGCCTTTAATCCCAGCATTCTGGAGGCAGAGGCAGGTGGATCCCTGTGAGTTTGAGGCCAGTCCAGTCAACCAGGATAGCCAAGGCTACACAAAGAAACCCTATCTCAAAAAACAAAATATTAATTTTGAACTACTTAGTAGAAACTCCATGCATGACTTAGTACCATTTTCAGTAACAGAGGTAAAAGACAATAAACAAAGTTGTGTTCCCTTTAGGAAGGCAGTTTCAGAACTGGTTAATACGTTATGTGGCACTACCTCATTACTGTTATAATAAAATTATTCCTTATAACTATCTATGTAAAAGCAGCACCTTACATAAAAAGAACAAAGGAGACTTTATTATCAGCAGAATCTTTCAACTAACTATATATTTAAATAATATATCCGGATAAACTGCAGTTCTTCTTTATATCTAGTGAAAAAAATGTATTTCCAGTAGTCAGTTGGCCTACTCCTGTATGTTCTAAACTTAATACTCAATCTTTGTACGTTTATTACTCTAACACAGGTCAAAGATGAAATATAGAAAAGTAATCCAAAACTAAACTTTCTTGAAATCTAATTTGAAGGTGTTAGAAACACACAGACCGAACAAACTAAACCCTGTCTTAAATCAGTATGAGGAGTATTGTTCTGTGCCAATCCGCTGTTTTAAAAGAGCCCAGAGTCAGCATCCTGATGGACAGACGGACACCTGAAGAACACTTTTCTCTGCAGAACTTTCCACTCGCAAACCCAAAAGTCATCATATTCAGGAGGCGAACCTGATGGCAGCATTTCTCCTCACTTAGAACCTCACTAAAACTAATAGCAAAAACCAGTCCTATTATTGTATAAGGCAACATTAAAACACACAACATTAAAGGAGGAGACAACAACGTCTTCAAGTTACCTCTAAATGTTCAAACTGTGACAGAGAAAAATAGAGGAAATTATTTAATTCCTGAAACTAAGTAAAAATTTACTTCAAGGATAGTTTTAAAAAGTCAAACACTGAATATACTTATTCTGAACTCGGCTGCGTTTTAGAAAAAACCTTAGACACTTACCATTGCAGTTCTGGACTTGAGAAACCAATCAAATCTGAACTGAGGGGAGTTTCGAATGCATTGTCGTAACTCATCATAAACATTTTCCTTGTCAAATCCAAGCTTGTGCAGCATACAGATGAGAAAACGATCCTCTTCTTCAGTATAGTTTTTTCCTTTGTTAGTACCATATGATATTCTTAGCTGATGAAAGGGTGCTTTGTACCGTCCAATCTATGGAAGTTATATTTTATAGATATTATATAAAAAAAAAGTTCTATGCAACCCATACTGCAAACTTACTTCATCCTTACTATAATTTCCGTTTGTTTTGTTTTTGCGAAACAGGGTTTCTCTGTGTAGCCCTGGCTGTCCTCAAATTCAGAGATCCAACTGCCTCAGCCTCCCAAGCGCTGGGATTAAAGGCGTCCGCCATCACCACCCAGCTAGCTTTACTATTATTATCCATAAATGTTTCTCCATCTAGGTAGCAAGCCTCTTCTGCCCTTTGTCCTGTGGTACTTTATAGAAATGAGGCAGGCCTAAGCTTTCTGACACCACTTAGGCAGAAGCTGAGTCCAGCACTCTTAAACTAGGTTATCAATATAATATTCGGGTAAACTATGTTTTAACAAAGTTAAGTTTTTGGTTTTTTTTTTTTTTAAAAAGAAATTTACAGTAATTTCTTTTTCTTTAACATGGTTACTTTGTCATATTCGGAACAGAGTTACACTAGCTCCTATACTTATGAACATACAAAGTACCTTTGTGTCTAGTGCTTTCTTGATGCTTATTCTTCTTTGAATTCTTGCCTCTCCCCTTTCAATCTGAGCCATAATCTTCTCTATGTCCTGGAGCTCATTACATCTTTCCCAGAACACAGCTGTAAGCAGATAAACCAGAATAAATGGAGGAAAGGGGAAAATATAAAAAAGAAAACAGGAAGTTTCCAAAAAAAAAAAAAACACCTCGATGCAACTCTCAAAAAGCGGTAACATTCCTATATTAAAATAGGAAAGTATTACCTGAGTATTCAATGACTTCTTCTGGAGTTTTTCCTTCTACTTCTCTGGCTATATTTTCAATATCATCACGACCCCACTTCTCATTAGCTTTGATAAACTGGTTAAAATCTCTCTTATTCCAATTAGTAAATCCCTAAAAAGCAATAGGCAAAATATTTAATCACAGCACATTAAATTTGGAAAATAATGCCACTATAGTTACAAATGCATTTGGTGCTGTAGAAAGAGTTTTGGAGTCATTACTTTTCATGTATGCTCTTTTACCAGTACATTATGGATTACTGTGAAGCCTGAGTAACTAACCCTAAAGGCAAACAGTAAGGAATGCTGCATGAAAAGGTCCAATGACACTTCTTTCTTTAGCTTTGAAATACTATTAGGAGTTTGGGAGGAAAAGTAACAGACAGTAAAAATAAACAAGTAGAAAAATGCAAGAAAAATAAAGCTTAAAAGAGGGCACATGAAGTGAAAGTGGAGAGGAGACAATGGGAAAAGAGGGTCAGGAAAAAGGAGAAACAGGAGGAAAAGGGTCAACCAAAACTAGGATGTAAGAAGTCAGATGGAATCTACTACTCTTATATGCTGTTTATAGAAACATGGATGCAACTAGAGATAATCTTCTAAGTGAATGAAGCCAACACCAAACAATGTATGTATTCTCTCATTTGTTGCATCTAGATTTTATAGACACCTTTAAATTATTCATGTATATATCACACAAAAGCAGACGGGGAAAAGGAACAATAAGGACTAACAGGGTGGAAAAGAGAAAGTGGAAGGTGGGAGGTGTATGGGAAAGAATGTGCTCAACGTTATGACGTATAGTTGGTATAAAAGTATCCTTATGTAGCATGGTACTGAGTACAGGGAATATTAAAATTTAAAAGTATTTTAAATCAAGTACCAAATAGAAATTTGTAACCGAGAAAACTTAGAACTCACAGAAAGCTAACAATACTGAAAATGAGTTCTAAAGAATACCAACTCTACTGATTACATAGTTTAAACCTCAACTAGTAATGAAAATCAAAATGCAGCATGTGTTTAAGTTTCCCCATGTTTAATTATCTTCCCTCTTATTTCATAGTGCTAGGGATTGGACCCAGAATACCACATATGCTAGGGAAGCAGTCCAGTGCTGGGTGATACTGTTAGTCCCCCACTAATTATTCTCTTTGAAAGCAGAAACTTGCACTATGCATGTCTCAACATACCTAAAACAGGACTTTACAACATAACTTTGTGTTAATCCAAGGTCATACCTGCGTCAGAAGCTTCTCTTTTTCCTCTAGCTCCTCATCGTTAAGGGGCTCCGCTTCATCAATTTTAAGTTGTTCTTCTTTCTGTGCCTGTGCTGCGTTAGGTAGGTCAGGACTCCGAGGCACCTAACAGATGTTTTCCAGTGTCATCAATTGGTGTATTTTAAGGGCTTAACAGACTAAATTCGTAACAAATTAACACTTCACATTTTCAGCATAGCCATGAAACTAAACATATACTGATTTCCAATATTCTATTTAAAAATCATTACGCATGACAGCTTTTTTCAATGAAAACTCACAAGTGCAATACTAAACACACACAACTGGAGCACAGCAAATAACAGTATTTCCTACCAGACTCACTTAGTTAAGCAAATGTCAGTAAGTAGTACGCTCTGAAGAGCTTCTGAATAGAAAATATGTAGAGAAGAATTTTCAATCACCTTGTACCCTATGGTTTTCCTGTAATACAGAATTTCTTTTTCCAGTAATTCAAATAAACGTGGAGGAAAGAACTGGAAATCCTGAACATTTGGTTGTTTTGGAGGTCGGGGTGCCTAAGAAAAATAAAAACAGTATTGTCCATTAAAAAATAAATGCAAACTCACACACATTCATATTAAATCACTTCCTAAACCATGACAACTAATTCTCCAAAGAACAGAATTCACCTTTTAATGAAAATTAATGAAAATTTAAACAAATTCAAAAATCATACAAAACATAATGCTCTATTCCATTTTGTTATAAGAATTTGAGAAAACAATTTAATTTATAAGATATTTCAATATTTCCAAGTTGTCACTCTACCTTAGGTGCTTTAGGTTCACTAACACGGAGAGCCTCCCTGAAATACGCATCAACAGCATAATTGGCTTTCCTTTCTCGTTTAGGCGGTTCAATCCACTCTGTGAACGCAATCTAGAAAGTGGGAAATAATCCAACTCATTTCACTATACACAGCAGCAAGTTAGCTAGTGATTTACACGTCAGACTATAGATTCTATAGAGGTGAGGACTACAGCATTTCTTATATCATGTAATTAAAACACGAAACAAATTCTCTAATACTATAGAATATATGCTACAGCACAAATAAGTAGAAAAAAATTAACATAATTTTCTTAGAAAACTTGAGATTATGCTAACAAGGTAAAATATTTCTTCTATATCGAATTTTCAATCTTTCTCTGTAGTAGCAAATATTACTAATGAAATGAAATCATTTTAATGACCAATCAATTCAAATTCCATGAAAATAGGCTGTGGCCTTTTTATCGGCACTAAGTTAACTTTCAAATATCCCAATTATACTAACCCCATACATAACACTTTCAGTAACAGTATGTAACAAACTTATCATATACATTAAAAA